ACCCTCACAGGAACTATGCGGCAAATCTGAGATTTTCAACTGTCGTAACACCTTGTATAGGAACTTATTGTTACCATGTTTGTTTAATACGGTTGGCAATAGTTGTTCTTAAACCGGGGTTAGAAAACGGAATTCACGGTACACATCCATGTTTGTTAAATAATAACTGTTTATTCCTATTTTTATTCAATAGTTATATCGTTTAATAATTCCTGTCGTCAAAAATCTATTATGTTGAATAGATTTTTCCTAAGAAAAAGTTAAAAAAAGTCCTATACTACAATTGTGATTGTCGCTGTCGGTGTTTCTTACCGTATGTTACTCAAACCTAATATTATTTTCATGTATTACAGTTACACATTTTGTGGTTTGTAGTAGTGGTATTTATCGTAGTAAAGTAGTCATCATAACTACATTTATTTTAGCTTTGCAGCAACAACTACACGCTACGGCGAGCAATGCACACGATTCACAGAGAACAATAAAATTTAATGCCGTTCATTACTTCTCAAAACAATGTGTTGAAAAACGTTTGTGAGAGCATTCAGCATCAAGGTAAAATCTCTGCGTCCTCTACTTATTGTAATGCTACTCGTGCTCATGGCGGAATTACATTCAAGTTTTGCTTGTAAATATAATTACAACATTAACTAAATAAAGACAGCATTGTAAGTACAGTTGCGAGTGTTATCAAGTAGAAAGTATGTTACAACGAAAGTATGTTAAAAACCGAATAAAAAGCAATGATATCGTGACTAAAACATTAGAAATAACCTGCTTTATGTTTATAAAACTTATCTAAGTATTTGTACAGCGTCCCTCAAAATATTTAATTCGAACTTCATAGTTTTTAAACACTTTTTTGCGACATAATACCTATTAGACTTGTTCTCTCGTAGTATTGAGAATACACTAATTTAACTTTTAATTTTATCTTAAGAATAAAATTTTACCTCTATGAGTAAATGAAGCAGGTATTGTAAATAAAGGGATGAATCTCAGGGGACTGACATTTTCCTGCTGAAATCAATTTTTCAGTGGACTTTCAGCAGTTTACATAATCTTAAAAGGTGTAGTAAATATAACTCAATTCTAGATTTATATTTGTACTTTGATATTACTTAAGAACTATGTTGTATTTTCCGGTTATTCCAGAAAGATTAATTTTAACCGACTTGTGCGCAATGCTAATGAAACGACCGGTACTAGATTTCATTTATTTCATTATTATTGAAACGCGTAACTGATCTATACTGTGACTTGAATTACAATTTGTACACATTATGTTACAATTTCTTAAATTTAAAAATTGTTCATTTGAATTAAAGAAAATGGCTATCGTTTTAATTTTTTCTTATAAACATCAATTGTAATTCATAAGTTACAACCAAGTGATTTTTTTCAAACTTACCGTCAAAACACAGATCCTGATTTTATATAGTAACGCAATTCACTGTCACTAAACACACACACAGTATATTTTTCACAATTTTTTCATTAATATTGTTAGTTGAGTTTTCGTGGCATTGCAGCGATTGTTTCTGTTTTCGCGTTGTATGCGTGGCGCGGAGAGAAACGGACGGCGTATGTGACGTGTCTACACGCGCGCCGGATAAACTACACTGAGCAAGAGTACTGACTGAATTGAGTGATCTGTGGCCGGGACTCGCGACTCGTATCGCCAATTAAATGGCGTTGGCGTCGAGTCGTGTCGCATGCAAACAAACCTTTTGCTTGTGGCCGATGTCCGCTATTAGCCGACCGCTGACGCTTCTGAAGTCTGTACTCGCACACTGCATTAACATTTACGCTAATTCATTGAACGTATTTTATTTCCAATGATAAAACTGGCTGGCATTATTATGCGGGCGAGAGGAATGGAGAGCAAGGTACTCTTATCGCTTAAGAAAACAATCGCGTTTCTTTAATCTCGTTTCACAGATTTATGGTTATAGGTAGCCCTATACTTTATACAATTTATTTACGGAAATGCACACACGAGTATATTCATTTATAAATAAAATATTCAATGTAATAAATTATACAAACAACGACTGATTGGTCACATGTCAATTAACAGGTTTTAATATAATATAATATGTACATAGACATATGTACATATACTCGTAGTATATTGAAACATTTATACAAAACACATCGTTAGTCTCTTTAAAAAAAAACAGGAATCAATATGTCAGAAGTGTAATCAGTGGAACTCATAATTACATCAGAGTATATATGTATTCAATATACGTATAGCACAAAATATATAGGCTACTATTACAAAAAAATGTGAAACAAAACCTGCTTTGTAACTTAACTGGAAAAAATGTTATTTAATAAATATGTGTGCGTTTGTAAGCGACAATAGGCATTAATGATTGTCCCTGTTGACCTGGATCTGCACATTGCACACGACAAGCCATGTTCATATTTAGTTTACTGTTCATTTCGTTCACACAACTTAATAGCTATTGTGCGCCGACACCCGCCCTAATTTCAATATTGCATGTGATATTATGTTGTTACATTTCATGTTATATTTGTCACATAGACCAGTATCTAGGGTAGGCTACCTTTGAGTGAAAAATCACATAATCACCAAAATTATTTTATTTATACATAATTTAATCGTATTGAGTTTGTAGGAGAGAAAGGAAATCGAAATAGTGAACATCCATTGACATCTTCACTTTCGTTTCACACACCGTTAATGTAATTAAATGAATCGTTTCATAACGAAATATTAGAAGCTATAACTAGGAAAATATGGATGAAATATCAGTGATTAGAGAAAGTACTTAAGGTATAGAGTTGACAAGTCGAGTACAGTCATCCGCTGTGTAGACTAGGCTTAACTTTATAAGAAGATTAACTATAGAAGGCGTAGAACGACGACAGTTATCTATAGATATTTCTGTATGTTGCTATTTGCTATCAAATCTAAAAAAAAAACTGTTGTGTTGTAAAAATATTGTATTTCTCTCTAATAATTATATACAAATAAATATGGATATAATGAAATGCAGTTACGTTGGTTTTAAAAGTCAATGTCCCAGCCTGAGGTTTCATCTGGTGGTAGTTTGTCCTTGGGGTACTTCTCAAAGTTGCTAAGGTCGAAATCGCTAGAGACGGGCTGGATGAGAGGAGCCTTCAGTTTTTTCTCACGGAGACCATCCCAGTCGAAGCCTAGGAACCATCTGCAAATAAACAATGAAGATTGCTTCAAATCACTGATGAAATTACAAATCGATGATTAGTATTATGAGTCGGTATATGTATTTTTCTCCAAATTTTAAACTTTGAAAATCATACATATACGAGTACTTACGGCCAAATACTAAAACAAATCTTAAATACTTCGCTTCGTAAGCGCTGCCTATTCATACTAATATTATAAAGAGGTAAGATTTGTTAGTTATTTGTGTATGTATTGAAATAACCCAAAAACTACTCGGCCGTTTTTAAAAATACGTTAAAAACATGCTGTCGGCGAGTAATATAGGCTATATTTTTTAATTCCACGCGGGCGAAATCGTGAGGGACATCTAGTAATCTGATAGACGTCAAAAGTGAGGAATTTAGAGTTTAAGCGTGTCCTTATCATTTAAGACGCTGTTACATACTTAAATGACGTTTCAGAATTCGGCCGTTAGTATCTAGAGATGCTAACTATCCTAGCGAGAGCAATACAGATAGTATATAATGTGCATCGGCAAGTTGTAGAAAGTAGTTGTACAGTATGGAGACCTCGAAAGTCGGACTTGATTTCTCCCCTTTTACAATACCAATCGATCATAAGGTATGTTTTATTGCACAGTATCAAACAAGTTTACATGCTTGGTACATAATTCGTATATCAACGGAATTGTCGCAAAATCATAATCTGGCAAACACAATAATTTCCCCGTTTATTTTCTAGTATGTAAATCCATAAAGTGAATCAATATGCAACTTTATGATAATGCGCTGAGCGGATTATTCTAAAAACGTATGCTGCAGTAATTGAGGAAATAAAGGGACCCTTATCCCTACAGACACAGACGAAATTACAGGATGCAGGAAATTACGTCATTAATGTTACTTTTTACAACAAAAAAACATAATTACATCATTTTTTATGCCATTGAAATAAATGTGAAACACTTTGAATATGATAGTCTTACAAAATATAATGACTTGGTAAAAATAATTGTTATCGTCTAATATTATTGAGAAACTGAATTAACGTAAGTACGATTACATGATGTTAATGTGTAAAGTGCAAAGTCCCATTTTCAGTTGAATCGGTAACATGTGAACTCAAATAAAATTCTGCTAAATCTTTAAATGGGGACGTAAAAATGTTTAATTCGTTCACATCTCTAGAAATTTTTGAGTGAAAAGTGCTTGAGGATTGCGTAAACAACTCATATTTCTTCTAAAAAATAATGACAGCTACACATTTATCACTGTTTATAGTCAAGCGTAATTGAGACGGCGTGTTAATAAATTGTAGGTTTTATTAATAAAAACAAGGCCGCTTAAACAAAGCACGCGTTTAAATTAACCGCGATCTTGACAATTAAACTTAATCAGAGACAACAGGACGTCACATATATCGCAATTATTTTAAACGAGGATTGACATTTCTTAACGTTGTTATCTTTGATAATCTATTAGTGTATTTTAAAACGTAAATTATTCCTTATACTGCTTATCCCGTAAGAATGCTTTTATTAAAACACACTTTACATTATAATTTGTAATTGTAATGTATACTTTAATATTTTTAAAAGATCAAATTATAATGACTATGAACTTACTTATGATTTTTAATGTCAACAATGCCATTCTTGAGGTACCCGAGGCGCTCGGCGGGCACGGCGCGGCACAGCTTGCGGACCAGCAGCTGCGCGGACTTGGGCACGCGCGGGTGGAAGGCGACCGCGTCGATGCCGCGCAGTATGAGCGTGTACGTCTTCATGTGGTCGCCGCCGGCCGCGCGGAACGGCGGCTTGCCCACCAGCAGCTCGTGGATCAGCACGCCCAGCGCCCAGCAGTCTACCGCGCGGTCGTGACCCTGCATTGCCACAAATTACGCATTCATACTCAGAAACTATTTGATAAACTGTCACTTACGATTGCTTCCTTTTTTATAAACAATTAATCGTATGTATGAATAACGTGATAAGTAACGTCTTACCTTGTTTAAAACAATTTCAGGTGCAACGTACTCAGGAGTGCCTGCGAATGTCCATGTCTTGCTATTCTGGGATAACCGTTTTGCGAAACCGAAATCGACCTAAATCAAAGTAATTAGTTATTAATTGCATGTTGACTATCTATACTTATTTGTCGACTGCTACAATCAGAGTCAGTGACCACAACTTTAGGGACCATTAAACGATGACATAAATGCATCACAAAATAAATTAAAAAACCACATATTACATTTTGTATGCAGAAAAGCTAAGTTAATTACCAGTTTAATGTAGCCGTTTTTATCCAGCATCAAGTTTTCGGGTTTGAGATCTCTGTATATGATATCCTTTGAGTGCAAGTACTGGAAAGCCTCGACGACGCAGGCGGCGACAAACCGCGCGATGTTCTCAGGGAAATACCTCTGCTTCTGTAGTATTGTCCACACGTCGCCGCCCAGCACCGGCTCCATTAGGAAATATATGAATTTGTTGTCTTTGAATGTTTGATATAACCTAAAAAGTAAAATTAAGGTCATAAAAAATATTTACGTATCAAACACTACATTTTTCACAAAAGAGGTAGCTGAAAAAATAGGTTTGACATGTTTTTGTTGACATGGTTTTAGTCAAAATTGTTTTTTCCTGTTCCAGCTATTTAATAATCCCCGCATCATCTTTCTTTTAATCCGTATGTTTTTCTTTATCGACATTTCTCTAGTAATTACGTAACCATGATAATATTCCGTAAAACAAATATATAACTTATAACGTCATTTCTGTTTCTTGTGTTATCTAATCTTGTTGCATTTATAGCGAAATCAATCGCCAAATAATTGGAAAAAGATGTTTTCTTAAGTACTGTAATTTATTAAGCTAATCTATTGACATTTAATGTAATCATTTTTGCAAATTAACTAACTAAATGACAAGGCATAAGATTTTGGCAATAAGTGATATTAAGTAATGTTTTTTTTCAACATACGTAGCGTATAGTTTACGTAAATAATATGATCTGTGTGCCCCTTTTCAATTTTACTCTTTCTTGGCAGGAAAATGATTGGTTTTCTTACAGATTTAGGACAATGGTTAATTAAGTTAGGCACTGACCTGCAGACGAATGGGCTGTTACACGTCATCATGATGTTCTTCTCGTTGTAGGCATGCTCCTGCTGCTGCTGCTGCACCATGTCCACCTTCTTGAGGCACTTGAGCGCGAACGTGAGCGTCGGCCGCGGCTTGTACTGCACCAGCTCCACGCGACCGAACCCTCCCACACCCAATGTACCGATTATCTCCAAATCCTTAAGTGCCACAAACTCGTACTCTGAGAATCAAATGTAACATTCACTAATTGATAATCGACGAGAAAACTTCAATCCATTAAGCATTATAATGGATATTGCAAGACAAAATGTTAACTCACCGCTTTTGACTTCAGAATTTTTCTTCTGTTGTGAAGCTCGTGGCACGGCATGTCGTACATTCTTTAACTCATCTAGATTACCAAGC